ACGAAATGCCAGCTCACCTTCTGTATCCCTTGTAGTCAACCTTTTGAAAAAGAGTTGGGACCTTTTTTCCACAAGTCGCCGAATCATTTTGGCAGCCTGCGGCTAATCCGAGTCCGTGCTGTTTTTTTGGGGATAAGGACCGCGTCAGCCTCGTGAACTTTCTGGACAATGGTCCCATTTAGTTCTTCCACTGGAGCTGGTCCTAGTGTAACTTGTTCAAAAAAGATGCGCATTCCTGAGAAGTCTGCACGGCAGAAGTTTCGAAACCACGTTTGAGGTTCGGGATTTCTGGCCCAATGGCAGATGAAATCAAAGGTCAGCACATAGTGGTCGCTATGTCCTAGTGGAGCGTTAATTGTTAACTGATCAACGAAGTGTCTTTCGTTGATGACCAAATACAGGAGGGATGGTAGTTGACCTACGTGGTATCTGATGTGTGCAACGACATGTTGAGTCAAAGCGCTCTGTTGAACGGCCTCAATCAGCGCCGCTGCAAAAAGTCCACTTGATCCGACGCCCTGGAGCTCCATCCAGGCCTTTGGAGCGTTGAAGTCACCTACCAGCAGAAGATGAGTGAAGTTGTAGCTGGGGGAGAGTTGCTCAGGGTTTCGTATGAGAAACTGGTCATCTTCAGGGAGACTCAAGGTAGACCACACCGAGGAGAGAATCTGACCCGTGTAGCGGGATTTGGGTCCACAGTGCATCGCAAAAAGTTGCAGGAGTGGTATCAGAGAGGACGATCAGGATGGGCAGGACCGCAAGTAAGTACAGAGCAACCCCACCAGTCCTCCCTCGTTTTGAGCCAGCTAAAAAAATAGGTTAACCGTCTATCGAGATCCCCGCGTCAGAGACATCTGGTGTGAGCCAGATCTCTGTGAGTGCGATTATGGACGGTTGTTCGAAGCAAGCTGACTGTTTAATATCGCAAAGTTTGTTGAAAAGGCCGAGGCAGTTTGTGGACAAGCATTTCAACACTGTCTGCTGTCTGCGAGGGTGGGGAGTCAAGAGTTGAGTGACCAGGGAGGTTAGCGCACTTAGTGGTTGTGCGTCGGGTTTGAATCCAAGGCTCCAAAGGAGCCTCTGGGGCGTAATCGTCTTCTTCCTGTCTTGGTTTCTGGGGGTGCTTTTCGTTTGCAGGGTTTTTTCGCGCCGTGAGAGCCCGGTGTGCTCGGACCTGCTGGCTTTGGGGGCGAAAATTTCGACTGTTGCTGCTCGTAGCTCTTTCAGCACCGCCTTTTTGGTGACCAGATTTACTATTGCCCAGAGATTTGCGGCAAACTTTTGTCTTTCGGGTTTCTTGGGCGTTTTGGTGCGGTTTGACTGGAAAGGTGTCTCTGTAAGGCCCTAAGCGCTGGGTGGCGGCACTAAGAAGTAATGCTTTTGGTGGCGCTCTCATGAGGCTCGTTTTCGCGGAGGACTGCACCCTAAAACCAGCCAGCAGTTTTCTGATCTGGAGAATCTCGAATGGCTTGTTTGGCTACCGTCGCCTTTCTTTGGTCTTTGTGTGGACACCTGATCCTCCGGGGATCAGCGTGGCCAACTGGATGTACGAGGGATTTCCCGGTTCGCTGTGGTCACGTATGTGGCTTTGGCTGTCGGTTCCTGGGCGACGACTGTATCCACAAGCAGAGAGGCCAAGAAGACAACTCGGTCTTCC